ACATTTCAACAGCACAACAGCAAAAGTCACGCTTTGGGTACTCAGAGGGCGCACCCCTCGCCAGTGTGGATGTTATAAAAGTTCACTTATTTAAAGTCCGTATTTCTCACGCGCACGGGGTTGTGGGGATGTGAGGGGGTGAGGAGATGGTCAGCCGTAGATAACAGAGCAGGCAGGAGGGGGAGAAGAGTGGTGAACTTATTTCTAATTTTATCTGACTTATTTAATTTTATTTATTGTTTTTATCGTCCTGCAGGCTCTGAGAGAAAATAAATTAGAAGCTGAGTTTCTGATAAAAATCATTAGATTACTCTAAACGTCTGTAAAGCTGCAAAATGAGGGAAAATCTGTGTCAATTACAGACATTCTGTTCAGGTGAGCAGCTGTCCTCCTCCAGACACACGAAGGAGCGTGTCTGAACCAATCACTGATGAGCTGACTGATTTAAATACATCTTGACATTCATGAGGTACTTTACATTGACTGTTTATGGTTGAGTGTGGGCGTGTAGAGGGTAGAACCTGAGGAGGACCTCGTGCGCAAACTCTGATGTGCAGCTGTGATCTATAAAGGAAAGATGTGCAGAAACGTGCGTATGTACGGTTTTATAAATCTGAAATTTTTTTTTTGGCGTACGCCATTTTCACCTTTTGGCCGTACGTTCATTTTTATTATGGTTTCCACGCAATCCTTTATAAATCTGACCCCAGAGCAACAATTTCTTGCTTTGCTACCTTTCAGATAGGCTTATGTTATTTTTGTCTAACAGAAAAGGATGGACAAAATATTTGACTTTGTGTAATTTTATAAATTAGTAAATGTCAGTGTGGTTAGAAAGCAAGAAAAAAAGCCTTTGGTTTAGATAAATTGACCTCCACAGCTCAGTGTTTCAGCTCTGTTAGGATTATGTTTGTCAGATGTTGCTTGAGGTAAATGAATCAAACATTTAGTTGTAAGAATTAATCCAGCCTGTGGCTCTTAGCTCCTGTTTTTGTTGGTTTTGAAGCGTAATCACTCTGGACTCGTTGCTCGGTGTTTGCTCCTCACAGATAAACACCTCTCTGTCTGAGTGAGGAACAGAACAAATGATTGTTGTCATAAGAAACAATGAAAAAGCAGCTTTTCCATCATGTTTCAGTGACCCGGGCTGAATTGATTTGAAACGCAGCATAAATCTGATTTGCTCTGTAGCAGCTGCTCAGTGCTGTACGTCTGTTGTCTTCATTAAGTAACAACTGTGTGCAGCAGTGTGGAGCATGGATTAACACAGCTGTTGAACTCACACGAGTGAATTTAACTCCCTGCTGACAAACATGAACCCATGAATTAAAAAATGAGTGTTCCTCTGCTTTATAGGTTTATATTTTGCCATTTTCCTGCGTTTCATTCATCTTCAGTCTGATTTCTTGTTTTTCTTCTGAATAGTTTGCTTCGTTTTAATCAAATATTGCTTTTTTTAAAGCTTGCTGGTGAAATATAAGATGCAAATAACAGTAACTGCAATGTGTGCACACTGGGTGTTACAAATGAAACTTTGGAGGGATACCTTGATGTTTTAATATTTTACCTGCAGGCTGCAGGTGATCGTTGGTGTAAAATAAAAGCCAAATCTGTCAGAAGGGAGCAGCTGGGGAAAAAGACCTGACATTTGTTCCCTAAGTCTTARAGCAGATAGTATTTTTGGATTGACTGATTGATTGATGATGCCTTTATTGCCATTGTACAGAGCACAATGAAATTACATTTAAGAACACTTTTTACATGACTGAAACTGCAGCAACTCTGGTAATGTCCTTATTTAATACCAAGAAAGTTTTTCTGTAGCCAGTGCTGATCTTAAAGGCCTTTCCACACTATATTGTTTTAGATAACTTAATAAACGTTATGACTATTTCACTCATATCAGCTATTTGTTTGATGTAATTTTTAGCATTACATATACATCCAAAAGAGGCTTCCAATAGATTTTTTTAAATTTCCATCTTCAGCGTAGACATCTTAAGAGTTGGACAAAGTTTTCACAAGTTGTCT